CTGAAGAGGCTGAATGCATGTGCTGGATTCAAAATTACGACCGGAACATGCTGACTGGCTGGCTGGCTGGCTGGCATCAGAAAGTAAAAATCATGTGCCAACCAAATTGCAACGCTACGCTACGCATAATCATAGAACAGAGTATAGAATGGCAGTCAACTCTTCACCCTACCTCAACTTCATCGACTCTGAGAACGCCTTCCACAGCGTCAATCAACAAGTAATTTGGAAACTGCTTCAATACTACGGAATACCACAAACCTTTATCAACCTCATTCAACAACTATATGAAGACGCCACATGCCGGCCAAGTAATTCACAATGGGAAGCTCAGCTCAGTGACGCCTTTGAAGTGAAGACAGGGTGGAGTAAGACAAGCTTGCTGCCTACTATCCCCCATCATCTTCCTGATTGTGGTCGACTGGACTGGATCATGCAGCAAACAGTGAGGAGCGAGGAGAGGAGGATACGCTCGACCGGGGAAAAGAACCTAGAAGATTTGAATTTCGCCAACGATGACTTGTGTCTGATGTCACACAAACTTGAAGATCTACAGGCGAAAACTAACAAGTTGACAGAGGAGGCCGAGCAGCGATTACGGGACTCCAGGTGAACGTGGAGGAGGCAGAGGTGACGAAGATACCCAACCAACGCAACCACCACCACCAACAACAACAAGAAACTCCAATCAACATCAATGGGAGAAACTTGAAGGAAGTAACCTCCTTCACTTATCTAGGCAGCATCGTTTCAACTACAGACGGCACAGGCACAGAAGAGGATGTCAAAGTCAGAATCGGAAAAACAAAATAGGCATTCATCAGCCTGAAACCAGTGTGCAGATCTTCTGCACTGCACTCAGCACGAAGCATGAACAACATCCGGATTTCCAACACTAATTCAGCCGAGTCAGTGCTTCTGTATGGTTGAGAGACTTGGCGCGTTACGAAAGGGATTTCCAACAAACTGCAGATATTCAATAACAACTGCCTATGCTGGCTCGTTACTGAAGACCAGATGGCTAGAATAATAAGAATAAGCAACAAGGAACTCTGGCCTGGTGACGAACCAACAGAGCAAGAATCTATCACCCAACAAATATGCAGTGGAAGGAAGTGGGGATCGATTGGGTATGCACTGAGAAGGCCGATTGGGGACATCATGCGTCAGGCCACTTGTTCGAGAGGAAGTCATATGAGAGCGACGACTCGAGAGTCCGAGTTGAGGGTGACATGGAGGAGATGGTGTGAGGAGGAAATGGGAGGTTGTGGGCTGTCGTGGAGCCAGGTTGAAAAGATGTCAGAGAAGAGAGTGGAATGGAGACGTGCTACTGAAGCCCTATGTTCCAGTAGGAATCCCAGGGACAAATATTAATATAATAATAATGATTTATATTTGTAGTGTACTTATATTCAAACTGCAGACTGTTCAAGTGTGACACTAAATTCGATACGTTTCTGATACCGAAAAGGAGTGTAACATCCATCTTTTCCTCAGAATAACTCTTCATGACTTTTGAATAAGCTGGAAAGCAACCAATTTCCCACTGTCTACTTCTTAGTGCTTATCAAAAGCTATGGATCATTTTGGAATCTGGTTAGCAGTCTAGTAGAGTCATCAGTGAAGTCACTTCGAATGATGTTAGTTGGCTAGTGGCAACTGACAGGAAGACCTGAAGTTAGGTTTCGTGATTGGTGGAGTTCTGCCATCACTCACAATCAAAAAAACATGAAGCTGGTTGATCTCCAGCAATCGATCATCGTGTGTAATCCAGGAGGTCAGTTGCTGTTTGAATATGTCAGTAGGAATGCTTTCAACTGAAGTGATGATTGATTCTGGCTTGAGTTTCGCAGTGAGCATTAAACCTGTCCAGGCTGCAGACACGCTTATTTGACAAACGTCAGCAAGCATGAAACCTAGACAGAGAAGGACACTTTGCCGATTATCTCTAACCCACCAACACTGTACAGTTCAAGATATATAGATGGGGTTAGGCAGCGATGAAATACCTCCTTAGAATAGATATCTTACAACCCCATTCAAATGAGAAAGCATTCATCATTTATTCGGAAGAAGACTTAAAACTCATTTCCTGATATCATTTTGCAAGAGTGTTGGCTCTAACTAGACGGGAAGGTGTTTTGGATTCAACTGTTTTTGAGTCTCTGCCTTTCTTGACCTGTGACTGGTGCAAGTGTAAAAACTGACCCATTCTTTTCTTGACTTTCTATAAACGATTCTTGTTTGAGCTGGCATTCATCCTGGACTGACATCATTTAGAGGAACAGTGGAAACTTGTATAAGACTCCTCACTAGTGCACATCAATGACGCTGCTCCACACAGGACCTTCAGGTCCAGCAGCTAGCACGTTGTTGTTGAGTCAGTGACTCAGAATCCAGTGTTCCATATTTCATACTTCTGTCAGTTCACAACATAGAGTGGCCATCACTCAATGTTGTCGATGATTATTCGTCCTCACAACCACCAGGTTCATCCCACTGGTTACGACTTCTCATTGGAACTTCAGGAATCACCTCTCGAAGCTAATCAGCAAATCCCGACAAATCCTCGATTTCAAATATCTAATGCTCATTGGTGACTAGCCTCGGGAGGTGAATCCTGAAGTTCCAATGAGAAGTCGTAACCAGTGGGATGAACCTGGTAGTTGTGAGGACGAATATTCAACGACCACATTGTGTGATGTCCACTCTATGTTGTGAACTGACAGAAGTATGAAATATGGAACACTGGATTCTGAGTCACTGACTGAACAGCGACGTGTTGACTGCTGGACCTGAAGGTCATGTGTGGTCCACCCTATAGGAAGCTAACCTGGAATGGAAAATACGCTCATTGCCAAAGGTGGGTACCTCTGACCTGAAAAAGGAACCTCATTCAGCTACTATGCACCAGACAGAATAAGAAGAATATGCCCAAGTGACACAGGCGACGAACTGGAATACCTGAGGAAAGCACTTCTTCAGAATGTCTATCCACCAAAGTTGATCAAAGTAACATGAAGCTGAAATAACGACAAGAACAAGTTCTTTCTGTCTCTAAAATACCTCATTCATGATCACTGATTTCAGGGGAGATGGTGGGGCACAGATATTGAAGAATCGTTTCTCCAAAGCATTCGGGAAAACATTCGATACCTCGGAACTGAAAATTGCATACTTCAACCGACAGCTGATTCAAAGTAATGTGAAGTACAAACTGCTGCTTTGGACCACACCCGTGTGTGTCTATTAGTTCACTTCATCTTGTGGAACTGGTTATGTAGGCCACAAAACGTGCAGTCCTTCTTATTGCATCTCTGAGCACTATTTTGAGCGGCTTTCCGGAGGAGAACCCAAGCCAAGCAACTTCTCAATCTGGAATCATTTCGTCAACTCTGGTCATGTCACTTCCTCACAATCCCCTTTCAAAATCCTCAAATATGCCATGCCAAACAGCTGGAAAGGAGCACGGATTCGTCACTTATGCAAAGCAGAGTTGTTGTCCACCTAGCAATTAAATCCGGAGCTCTGCATACAGCAGGGACACGTCCATTCTCTAATTTTGTCATGGTCATAATCATGTCTTGGGTTTCTTTATTCTTTCAATTTTCATCTTACTACTACTGATTGATTATCACTAATTTTCATTTTTCCTTTTTACTTCCTGGCTTACTTTCTCATATCTTAACGTGTTAGTTCTGATCTCCCATTCAAGTTCTCACAATACTTCGCTCATATTATTGGTTATAACTAAGATAATTTTCGACCTGTTTAGTTTTTAACTTATTGCATATTTCTCTTATACACACTTGATTACGCAGTTCCTTCTAACTCTACAATCAACATACTATTTCACTCTACAGCATCCCGTTTCGATGACCTATTGTTGACCTACTAGTCAATGATAGACTAATCTGTTTGATTGTTATTACTATAAATATGATTGTACATCTGTTGAAAATGATTCTTTTCAAAGAAAGCTTTCTTTGCTGAATTAATTTGTTATTTGAATATTGAGCTGATGAGGAATATTTGTGGCTGATGAAAATAATTTTGATTTGGTTGTGTTCTCTGAACTGAGTGTCGTTGATCGTGAAGGTTTCGTTGCCATTCTAGAAAACATCAGCACAAACATTAGGACGAAGCAAGCGGTAAGGTTTTCTCCGTAATTTATTAAATAGCATGTTCTGATGGCCTTGTTAGTGATTGATTTTTTCTGCTGATGTCTTGTCGTTGTCTCCATGTTTAGTTTGATTAGTTGTCTTAACGACTTGAAATTTTACCTTCTTCCTGTTTCTGATTGGTCGGTAGATTGGGTCAATTTCACTGTCTGTTAACTGACCCAAATACCAAGTTTCTTAAAATTCTCTGCCATTTTTTGTATTTTTGCTATCCAGGATTTTCATATTTCCCTTGATAGAGGAAATCCAAAGAACACCAGAGAATTTTTAGAAGCTTGGATATACAAATTCGCTATTTCTGATAAATTTTAGCTTTGATGCTCGAAATGATGTCTTATTTAAGTGAATGTGACCCTACTTATGTCCAATCGTGTTTGGATAGACTAAATGGGTATGAGTTTTCCAATAATAACAAAATGAAAACTCACTTTTCTCGAGTAAAATCATTTAAGAGGAAGGGAAACTTATCAACACACATAAATCATTACCGTAGTTTTCAGTCAGTCAACAAAATAGCAAAATATCAAAGTCACAAAATGATCAGTTACTATTGAGTAAACCTTATTTGTTGAGAATTTTATTGAATGGAATGAAATTCTTACTCAAAAAATAAGTAATTACAAGTAATTATGAATAAATCTTGTAGTAGATAAATAATCGTAGCACGTGATGAGCAATAAACCGAAGACAACAGAAATTTAATAAAATTTACCTATAACTAATTCTAAATAAAAGCTTATATAATTTTAGTTTTCATTATCATAAAATTAAAGGAAGAAATGTAAACAAAATTAATATTTTTACTCAATATTCACTTACATCAAATAAATTAACAAATGGATCAGCAAAATTCACTATCTTGAAGGTGTATTGTTCATTTGAATCTTCAACAGGTCGATCATGTCTATAAGATATTTTAACTAATCCTAATTCCACATACTTTATGACCACATCATTCATTAAATTGCCTATTAAAGTGCCAATAGTTACTTCTTCTTGTACATAGTATTCATGATCGACTGGATTGGACAACGTGGTCTGCAGTAAGGAAATGCTATTTGTAATAAATATTGACAAATGTAATAGTAATAATGTTGATAAACTGCAAAATTTGTTGTAGATATTCATTGTAGCATTTGCATGAACGTTGTTATACGAAGAGAATCTGTCGAAGTAAAGAACATCAAAAAGAAACTAGCATAGAAACCTTCTAGAAGGTGAAAAGGGAGTAACTTAACTCTAACAGAATATAAGGTTGAAAACCAAAATATAAATCTGGTTCCACTTCAAACTGCTATCAAGGTAATGATGATAATTCACACATTTTTTCATCCTGTAGTAAGTTATGTTACTCAAACAGCTCAAGTACATAGTTTCTGTTCAAACCTCATAGAAATTAAAAGATTTTTGAAGAATAAATTCATGCCTTTCAACTGTTTAGTAGAAAGCTAAGTCAAGGTTAAAAGTGTTGTGCCTAGTAAACTGTAAGCAGGTCTAGACGGAGTATAACACTTTAAAAAAGTCAGCTGAAACAAACAATAAAGATTTCATTCTATTTGTTTCTAACCATTCATTCAATAAATAAGTTAGTAGGTCACATAGGAATAAGATTAAATAATCGGACAAAGGCTATATATCATTCAGTACTTGAAATCAAATACATAGACATGGAAAAATTCTGATAATTGCCAAAAAATTTATCCTTCAAGATGATTCTAAAGAAATCTCCCCAACAAGAAACAATTTGTCGTAAACTTTGTATCTACTCCATAAAACAGTGTGCACAAAATTCGACAGCTTAGCCTTAAATAAGCTGATAAATTCCTAAAGAATTAAGTTTATGTCTCTCATGGGGGAAATGTGTTATTCAACCCTATTTTATGGAAAGTGACTTCTTGTATATACAACCTCCTTCTATACACAAGCTGAATGCAGAATGATACTAAATCCAGTTCCCAGGTTCTTAACACTTATCCTAATCTATCACTGTAGGAATTTGTTACTAGGGTTAATGCATTCATCGTATGTCACATCAAAAGACACCAGTAGTCAAATAGCAAAATCGAATTGATCAAAATGAACACGTTTTTAGAATCTGATATGGGCACCACCAACGAAAATTGCAGTCAACACTTCATGTTTCACTCTCAGTGAGCTTGTTTTCAATTTTGTGCAATAGTTTAGAAACGGATTTTACCAGTCTTTGGATATGAGGAAGTACTGAACAAACATCAGATTCTACTCTCGAATTCCTAAACAGTCTACAGCGTCAATCACCATCGATTTTGTGATTGGAGGCAGTGTGTTCAAGCACAAGGATATCCACAAAGCGAGCGACATGGATTTCACCATTCACCAGATCGACACACTAAAAATCAAGTCGACTTCATCTCAATCTCAAGAAAATGGAAACGCAGTCTACTTGACATTAGGTCAAGAAGAGGAGCAGATGTAGGTTCAGACCACTCACTATCTAGTGCAAGAAACCTGACTTCCAAATCAAGTCAAAAGCCTTCAAGGAAGCTGGTGATGATAGACCACAGTTCAAGTACAACACTCGGAATACAAAGTGAAGGATGAAACTATAAAGGAAATCTTCACATCAGTCAGCCATCAAGACAAAATAGGAGATATCGAGGAACATCATTGAAGAAACCTGTGTGGAAGAACACTGGAAGTCTTTGGAAGAGATGTGAAAGGAAACCTGCACAGCCGTATTAGAAATGAGGAAGAAAGAAGACAAGGAAGGAATGGATCTCGATGGACACATGGAAGCTGATAGAGTAGGGAGAGGAGTATGGTGAAGCAGAAGATAAACCCCTGCAGGCATGCATAACGAGAAGAGGAAATGAGTACAACCTTCAAAATACTACACTGGACAAAGAAGTGAAGGACAGTGCATGGTAAGACAAAACACACTTCCACGACACACTGGCAAGTGAAACAGAACTAGCTGTAGGCTAGTAGCAGAGACCTGACAGCATTGTATCAAATAACGAGGTTACTATATGGTAGGGGAGAGATCAACGCAGACGAAACCAATAAAAGATGATGACGGAGATTTAATTAACAAAGAAGAAAAACAAAGGAAATGATGGGCCAACTACCTCAAGAAGCTCTTGAATCGACCACCACAAACACCACCACATGCACTTCGTCCAGAAACACCACCAGCACCCTAGCCACAGAACTACAAGTGAACACAAGCCCTCCGACGAAATTTGAAGTTCTGAAAGACTTAAAGCTACTGAAATGTGGGAAAGCAGCAGGACCAAATGGAATCCCGCCAGAAGCACTCAGAACAGATGCAGAGACATCAACAGCGAATATGCTTACACCTCGATTGCAGAAGGTGTGGAAGGAAGGGAAGGTACCCGCCGATTGATTGAAGAAGGGCCACATTGTCAAACTCGCGAAGAAGGGTGGGCGATCTAAGTCTTTGCAAGAACTGGTGTGGAACCATGCTCCTGTCCACCACAATCAAGCAAAATATCAAGCCGCATCATCCTGAAGAGGCTGAATGCATGTGCTGGATTCAAAATTACGACCGGAACATGCTGACTGGCTGGCTGGCTGGCTGGCATCAGAAAGTAAAAATCATGTGCCAACCAAATTGCAACGCTACGCTACGCATAATCATAGAACAGAGTATAGAATGGCAGTCAACTCCTCACATTACCTCAACTTCATCCACTTTGAAAAGGCCTTCCACAGCGTCGATCAACAAGTAATTTGGAAACTGCTTCAATACTACGGAATACCACAAACCTTTATCAACCTCATTCAACAACTATATGAAGATGCCATATGCCGGCCAAGTAATTCACAATGGGAAGCTCAGCTCAGTGACGCCTTTGAAGTGAAGACAGAGTGGAGTAAGACACGCTTGCTGCCTACTATCCCCCATCATCTTCCTGATTGTGGTCGACTGGACTGGATCATGCAGCAAACAGTGAGGAGCGAGGAGAGGAGGATACGCTCGACCGGGGAAAAGAACCTAGAAGATTTGAATTTCGCCAACGATGACTTGTGTCTGATGTCACACAAACTTGAAGATCTACAGGCGAAAACTAACAAGTTGACAGAGGAGGCCGAGCAGCGATTACGGGACTCCAGGTGAACGTGGAGGAGGCAGAGGTGACGAAGATACCCAACCAACGCAACCACCACCACCAACAACAACAAGAAACTCCAATCAACATCAATGGGAGAAACTTGAAGGAAGTAACCTCCTTCACTTATCTAGGCAGCATCGTTTCAACTACAGACGGCACAGGCACAGAAGAGGATGTCAAAGTCAGAATCGGAAAAACAAAATAGGCATTCATCAGCCTGAAACCAGTGTGCAGATCTTCTGCACTGCACTCAGCACGAAGCATGAACAACATCCGGATTTCCAACACTAATTCAGTCAATTCAGTGCTTCTGTATGGTTGAGAGACTTGGCGCGTTACGAAAGGGATTTCCAACAAACTGCAGATATTCAATAACAACTGCCTATGCTGGCTCGTTACTGAAGACCAGATGGCTAGAATAATAAGAATAAGCAACAAGGAACTCTGGCCTGGCGACGAACCAACAGAGCAAGAATCTATCACCCAACAAATATGCAGTGGAAGGAAGTGGAGATCGATTGGATCAGGCATACACTGAGAAGGCCGATTGGGGACATCACGCGTCAGGCCACTTGTTCGAGAGGAAGTCATATGAGAGCGACGACTCGAGAGTCCGAGTTGAGGGTGACATGGAGGAGATGGTGTGAGGAGGAAATGGGAGGTTGTGGGCTGTCGTGGAGCCAGGTTGAAAAGATGTCAGAGAAGAGAGTGGAATGGAGACGTGCTACTGAAGCCCTATGTTCCAGTAGGAATCCCAGGGACAAATATTAATATAATAATAATGATTTATATTTGTAGTGTACTTATATTCAAACTGCAGACCGTTCAAGTGTGACACTGAATTCTATACGTTTCTGATACCGAAAAGGAGTGTAACATCCATCTTTTCCTCAGAATAACTCTTCATGACTTTTGAATAAGCTGGAAAGCAACCAATTTCCCACTGTCTACTTCTTAGTGCTTATCAAAAGCTATGGATCATTTTGGAATCTGGTTAGCAGTCTAGTAGAGTCATCAGTGAAGTCACTTCGAATGATGTTAGTTGGCTAGTGGCAACTGACAGGAAGACCTGAAGTTAGGTTTCGTGATCGATAGAGTTCTGCCATCACTCACAATCAAAAAAACATGAAGCTGGTTGATCTCCAGCAATCGATCATCGTGTGTAATCCAGGAGGTCAGTTGCTGTTTGAATATGTCAGTAGGAATGCTTTCAACTGAAGTGATGGTTGATTCTGGCTTGAGTTTCGCAGTGAGCATTAAACCTGTCCAGGCTGCAGACACGCTTATTTGACAAACGTCAGCAAGCATGAAACCTAGACAGAGAAGGGCATTTTGCCGATTGTCTCTAACCCACTAACACTGTACAGTTCAAGATATATAGATGGGGTTAGGCAGCGATGAAATACCTCCTTAGAATAGATATCTTACAACCCCATTCAAATGAGAAAGCATTCATCATTTATTCGGAAGAAGACTTAAAACTCATTTCCTGATATCATTTTGCAAGAGTGTTGGCTCTAACTAGACGGGAAGGTGTTTTGGATTCAACTGTTTTTGAGTCTCTGCCTTTCTTGACCTGTGACTGGTGCAAGTGTAAGAACTGACCCATTCTTTTCTTGACTTTCTATAAACGATTCTCGTTTGAGCTGGCATTCATCCTGGACTGACACCATTTAGAGGAACAGTGGAAACTTGTACAAGACTCCTCACTAGTGCACATCAATGACACTGCTCCACACAGGACCTTCAGATCCAGCAGCCAGCACGCTGTTGTTGAGTCAGTGATTCCGAATCCAGTGTTCCATATTTCATACTTCTGTCAGTTCACAACATAGAGTGGCCATCACACAATGTTGTCGATGATTATTCGTCCTCACAACCACCAGGTTCATCCCACTGGTTACGACTTCTCATTGGAACTTCAGGAATCACCTCTCGAAGCTAGTCACCAATGAGCATTAGATATTTGAAATCGAGGATTTGTCGGGATTTGCTGATTAGCTTCGAGAGGTGATTCCTGAAGTTCCAATGAGAAGTCGTAACCAGTGGG